GCTAAACAAACCAATGCTGAATCCCCACAGTGCCTGTGGTCACCTGGAGTAGAGAAAAATACATTTTAGACCACACTCACTGCCACTGTTGTTGATTGACCTTTATTATAAGATGCTGACAGAAACTGATATCCACATGATGGCTTTTCCTTGAAAGGACACAGCACCAAGCCACCTTTTTGAAATCTTGGGAAGTAAACTGCACAGCACACCTCTGTGTCACTGGTTCGAGCATCCTGTTGGCTGTCATTGATGTTAAAATGAAGAGCTGCCAAAAGTATGTTACAAAAAAAGAGAATAAATCTAAAGTAAAATTATCTAACCTACCTTTTACGCTTTACAAAATGTATACAGAATACATCAGAGGCTGTTTAATTGTTTCTATGCTTATGTTATCTATATCGAAAATTCAAAATTATATGTTTTCTGTTTCTAGAAAATGACCATCTGATCAAAACTTCATTTGTAATAATCATCTAATTATTTACCAAAATGTAGACCTAAAATAAATTGTACCTAATTTTTTCTGTTCCATGCACCTCCTTTAAATATGATCATTCATTGTCCTCGAAACCTCCATTTACATTAAGTTTTTTTTTTAAACCCCAAAGAACTGTCAGGCTCAGAGAAATAGGACCCAGTGTTCCAGGCAGACAGACAGATTTCTCAAAACGTTTATAAAAAATGAAACTGCAGTGAGCCACGAGACAACAGGTTAGTGACCATGTCTATTTGGAACGATTGACATGGCGGGTGCTGCCCAGAGAGTCCCACACACTTATGTCTCGGAGGTTGAAGGAAGAGGCAGGAGATCAAAACAAAACAGATGAAGGAAGGCAGGATAATCCAGAGGGCGAAGCCATAGCTGGTGTCGATGACGTGCTCTGGTAGTCCGAGCCAGGAGATCAGAGGTTGGACGAGGCGCTGAGGAGAAATCTAGAATGGAGTCAGGAAACAGTTCCAGGTTTGGTTAACAGACAAACAGAAATCCGGCAGGAGTCCAAAGACAGGTCAGGCAAACAGATCAGAACGGGGATAGGCAGGCTCAGAGGTCCAGAGAAACAACGAGTCAAAATCAAATAATCAGAAACAGTCAGGAATGCTAGAGAACTTTCACCATAGGCTCAAATGATCTGGCACTGATGACTGGTCTGAAGGCTGGGTAAATAGAGACTGAATCAGGTGGATCAGATGAGCGGTAATGAGAACTGGGCAGAGATAGACAGATGAGCGAAATGAGTAATGAGACCAGACATCAGCACCAAGATCATGACAAGAACAGGTGATCTAATGAGGTGGTTTGCTGTTTTTTATTTTATTTTTTTTTTGCAGCAACATAATGCTAATTTCCTGTATTTCAACTTAAATAAACAAAAGAAAAGACTGAAATTGCTGGAACATAAAAACTGATCAGCTGATCATGCTTACAGAGCTAAAGCAGATGGGATGGGGCACAGCGGCGAGTGTATATAGAAGTGTATATGCCGGTACTATACTGTCAGATCTATATACGAACATGCTGATCGATGAAAAGGTCTGAAATTACACTGTGAGCCGCAGTGAAGCACAGATGATGTTGTTCTGGGACAGCTTCAACGTAATTAGTGAAGCTACACTCCTGTAGCAGCATTGCTATTAATGCCTTCTACATCTTTGGAAACACAAATGAATAACCAATATAAATACATTAAAAATGCCAAATAAAAACAAAAAAACCAATAGGCTTAAGCTCATGGCGCCTTTTCATGAAATATGCTCATCAAAGACATTGCTTTCTCCGGTTAACATTAGCTAGTTTAATTGCAATCTTAGCCTTGGGAAATCTACTAAATATACTGCTTCTGATTTCCGAAAAATAATTTTTTAACAAAATTATTTATGAAGAAATGTTAGAAAATAACACATACGGTGGACAAATCCCGGCAGCATTGAGTTGAGTCTGTCCTTCTACTGTCTATAGCTGTAGAACAAGAGGCTGATCATGAGGAGGGTGTTATATGGACAGAAGGCACAGCACCTGGCTTGAGTCACACCCGATCCTTTCTTTTATATTGCCATGTTACACTGCATCACATTGTTGGCATTATAATCTTCCGGACTGACATAACCACCACACAAGACATGCCACACTTAGCTGAAGCAGAAGTGAAGTCCAGCTTTTTGCACTGCACGAAATGCACCCAGATACTAAGGCAGCCTCCTCTTTTTTTCCTGTTTGGAAAGCTGTGAATTTGATGTCCTGACTGACTGGAGTTTGTACAACCACCACAAACTCAATAAATGACAAAGTCTATAATGAATAAACACAATCTAAAACTTCTACAAAACTCAATAAAAAATTCGCTCTACCAATAATTAGGTACTCTCCACACATTGACTCACTGAAGTAAAATGATGTGTTTTTTAAAGGAGGAGTCCGGTCATATTCAGAATCCAAACTCCTGAAAGTACTTTAAATATGAAATTATTATATACTGTTCAATAAATGATAAGTGTTTTTAATTAATAGTAATTTTCATCTGAATGTGCTTTACTGGAGGCATCCATGTTTGTCAAAGAACACTACTGCCACCTACTGGTTAGTGACGTAACGGTGCAGTATCGACTGTGGATCAAGTCCCAGTGCTGTAT